CAAAAATTTAAAACTGGTGTGAACAGTATGGGCACCGGCGGGTCCACCCATACCCGTATAGGGTAGGGTGTGGGTCCAAAATATTGGACCCATTTAAATCGACCCGTTTTGAGCCCGTACCCGTGAGACCCAGCTCGTACCCGACCCACCCGCCCGTTTTGCTAGGTCTAGTTACCAAGGATGAGTTTGATAGACTTTTTGGGCAATTGCTTAGTGAAAATGACAATTACGACCTTAATTTATTGACAAATATTTACAAATTTTTATATATAAAATGACGTAATACAAAATGAACAATGAGTGTTTAAAAAAGTCAACTCAATGAATGTGGATGAATGATATATCAATTAAAGATTTTTTCTTTGATTACTTACCAAAAATTTAGGAATTGCTTATTTGTACATGCAAAATGAAATTGTGTGAGGAAACCGTGGTTTTTAGTTTATGTCTGAATTTTTCTAGCTCATCCTTTAAGGAAAATTTGATGAATTATACGATCACGGTATGCTGTAATATAATTTATTTAAGGTTGACTTTCGTTCTCTAGCACAGTCTCCTAGTATAAAATAGGTTTTGTAAGGATAAAGTTTCAATTGAAAACCAATAGCCTGTGCTGTGGGAATGTGGTGACTCCCATCCCCCGTCCCCGTTCCGGCCAGCCCCCGAACTGGAATAACATGTCAACAGCCCATAGATTGCAGCCCATTACCCATATGATAGGAATCTCAGGTGCAGATTACCCCAAGCCCAATTTTTTTTCATTTAGCCCATTTAACTCTTTTAGAACTAGTCCTTAATTATCTCTAACCTTTAAAAAAGCAGTTCTTTTTTTTTTAAAAAAAAAAAAAATTGGAATAGTGTTATTTAAGCCTCATTGATATGTGTTAAACTTATCACTTACTAAAAAGTACTTTAATCTAACATAAATTAATTATTCCACTCTTTTATGTGAAAAAAAATATGATTACTTAACATTTACAAGTTATTTGAATAAAAAATATGTTATTATCTATCAATAATATAACACATATATTTTTACATTTACATATATATCAAGTACTTTATCTATGCATATTTAGCTTTTTATATTTAATTTAGTCATTTTCTCTAGTACTACCCATTTGTATATGGTTTCACTCAATGTTCCTACAATTATAATCACATTTGATCAATTAATAATGTGAAAAAGATAATTAGAAAAGTGATAATTTCTTGACAAATGTGTTTTTCTTTTAACATTAGTAAATTATTAATTGTGTCTTGTTATGTGACACAATTTATTGTGTCTCTCCATCTTTATAATGCAATATATGAATTCTTTGAATACCACATAAAGTTTCTATTCATTCTTCTAATTAATTGGTAAATTTTAATTTACAACGATTTTAAATGTCAATTTAAGTAATTAATTTCTTCTTGTATATAATTCCTCTTCTTCTAATTAATTTGTTTAGTTATTTTCAACTATTCAAATTAATATAAGATCAACAAGATCTAAATGGTTAAATCTGACTACAAGTTTTTAGTAAGGCTATTATAGTAAGTCCATTACAATTTAAAATTATAACGACATCTAATTGAAATAAAAATATATAAATTGCATCAAAATAACATAATATCTTCTCATTAAAAAAATTAAATATAAGATCTATGAAGGGGGCTAGGCAAGCGGGCTAGGGCACGCCCACCTCTGTCCCCAGGGTTGGGAAATTTCATGCCCAGCTCAACCCTTGACTGTTTAGGGGAATCCCCGCCGGTCAAACGCCCATCCCTAAGAATAGCCATGATCATAAAAGAGATCAATTTTATTGGTAAGGAAAACCATTTGTCCAGAGAAAAATTAGTCCATATGAGAGAAGCATAGAATGTGTAAAACAAGGCGTTACCATGGTATGGCATGAAAACAAGATGAGTTTAAAATACCTGTGGACAACTGCTTAATGAAACTAATAGTTATGACTCTGATTAATCGATATAAGTCAATAACTCTCCATACAAACTCTTATATATGGTTTGTTTAATAAGACTTCTTTGAGTAGAGCTTAAAGAAGAAGAGTTTATTAGAGTAGGGCTTTTATGAAAATTTTGTCAGTTATTTGGCTAGGAAAATGTAAAAGATTTGTCTAATATTAATTTATCAAAAAGGGTTTTAATATACAATAATAGATAAAGAGAAATTAAAAAGATTGAATAGAGATATTTTTTAAATTTCAACATTTTTAATAAACTCAAAAAGCGCTTATGCGAAAAGTTCAAATTTTGAACTTCTCTTAGAAGCTATAAAATTTTTAATGACCGTGTAAGCATTTTTGAAATGCAACCAAACAACCAAAATAAAATTCAAAAGTGTTTATAGGATTAAAAAAACTCTTTTGGCTAGTAAAGAAGCCCAACCAAATAAGTTATATGTGACGTAATATAAATTAAATAGGTAAGTATACATAAAAAATCAATTCAATAAATATGGATGAATAATATGGCAATTAAAGAGTTATAACACATCAATTTATGTATAATAATTGGTATATGATGTAACACCATTCGTCAATAAACATAATAGTAATTATCAAGCTTTGAATTGACGAAAAATGGCAATTAACTATGGTCATGACTATAATATATATATTCTGAAATTACTTGATAAATATAAAATACATATATTTTTAAATTAATGTGATTGATAATTATTAATGAAATCACGGTATCTATAATATAATACCGTATAAACAAATATTATTTTTTAAATTATAAACTTTTTAACATATTAATTTTAAATTATTTAAGTAGCCCCAATTGGATAAAAAAACCTGGTCTATCACTATATATTATATATATATAATATCTATGAAAATAGATAAATAGGGCTCCTTTTGTTACGCTATTGGGAATACTATTATTAGTATTTTCAATAAAGTTAAACAGTAAAATGTCATTATTCTCAAAATATTATTATATATTTTTCAATTTCTTTTAAATCTCCCTAAATTTGTTAATTTAACTAAACACTCCCAAATATTTTTTTAGAAATTACAAAAACACCTTAGCAACCCATATTTACCAGATTCAGGCCACCACTACCGGAAGCTGGCTGGAATTTGGTATAATGGCGCACTACCAACTAAATCTGACTGGTAGTGCACCGATCTAGCCTTTTTTGGCCAGATCTACAGCCAAAGATCTGGCCGTGTCGTCAACTACGGCCAATATATGGTCGTCGTTGACTATTAATAATGGTCGTATCTTTGGCCGTCGTTGACGACCAAATGCGGCTAGATCTGGCCTTTTTCGGTGGATTTGGTCGAAAAAGGCCATATCAGCGCACGACCGGCAAGATCCAGTCGATCATGCATCGATATAGCGACTTCGACCACTCTCCGGCGGTGGTGGCCAGCTGTCTGTATTTAATGGGTGGGTTGGGGATGTTTTTGTTAACTTTTAATATTTTATTATAAGGGTGTTTAGTAAATAAACAAACATAGGAGGTATTTTTGTTAATTTTTAAATCCTACATCGTAATACTCGCACAATTTAACTTTTTTCAAAATATTATTCTAAAAACTATCAGAATAATGAATCAAACAGACTCTAGAATTTTCTTGAATAAATTTCACCCAAAAGCCAACTGTTAATTTTTATTTTTTTTAAATTTAAAATCAATTATAAAATAAAATAAGTTTTTAAAATAAAAGCGCGGTAAAACTCTTGAGGAGGTTTCATCAAACCCAACTCTTCTCAAAATCTTGCAGCCAAGTCCATTCTCATCCTCAGTCAAACGCTCTCCAGCACGAAATTGAGCACGAATCAGATTGTAATGGAGAGAACCAGCAACGATCTTGGGCTGGGTTTCAGTTTTCTCAGTACAGAGGTAGCTCCCTTACACATCACATTTAAGTTTTTCTTTGTATTATAGTTTTTGAATTAATTGGATTCACATCATATTTAAGTTTTTCTTTGTATTATAGTTTTTGAACTAATTGGATTCAATTTAGTGCACATTGGGAATTTAGGGCAACTAATAACTTAAAATCATCAGATTATGAAAGATTATTAAGAAGATTTTGATCCAGGTTACGTTGTTTAGGTCGAGTAATAACATAATTAGGGTGTTGAATGATGTTGATTTAGAAGAAAATCTTCAATTTTTTTTTAATTTGTTAAAGAAAATTGAAGCAAAGCAGAATTAGAGAACAGAAACCATATGCTGAAATGACAAAACCCAACAGGGGGAACAAAAGGGATTTTTATTTGATTGTTAATTACTGAAATGAAGGTTAGCTTTTTTTTTTTTTTTTTTGGTTAATATTTTTCCAGACCTCAGGCTAAACACAAGGAAGGTGTGCGATAATTTCCCAAACAAATAAGGGTGATAATTTTCTATTTCTCTAATCAAAATTCTCCTGTTGACATTTTTTGGCGTATAAAATAGATTTATGCTAGCTATTGTTGTTGATATATAAACGTGTCAAGAGTTTCATTACTTCCAATAAATAAAACGTAAGATTCTCAATGATAAATATTTTGTCTATACTTATGTCACAAATAGTGATGATACCGCTAATATTTTTATTTTGTATAACTGATTTTCAGTGTTAATGGTTCCTTAATTTGACCAACCAACCAAAAATTTTGTTTAGGAAAGAGAGAGTAGATAAGATATAGCCATGACATGCTTTGAAAGAGACATTGTAGCATTGTGGGTGTTGACTGTTGCCTGAAGAAGCCGTCTGTCATTTCAAGTCATAAATCTACATTTTCCATGTTAAAAAAACCAGTATTAATCTTTGAACTTAGAAAACTAAATAGAATTGAAAATTATAATAATGTCTCACCCAGAAGTCAGATTTCACCAAGTCAAATTTTCTTAGCTAAGATATAATGATGTCTCTGAAAATTTATCTGATTTCAAATGTTTAACTGTTGCCAAATTGTGGTTATAAATTAAGTAGTTATTGCTAATTTTATGTTAAATCAGCTGCAATTAGCTAGGCCATACCAGAACCATGAAACTTGTTATCCCTTTTTCCTTATTGTTAACTCTGCTCTTCAAATTTTCATTTATTACATGTTGCTATGATCATGAAAGGGAAGCATTGTTAAGCTTCAAATCTCATCTTACAGACCCTTCAAATCGGTTGTATTCATGGCATGGCCAAAACTGCTGCACTTGGAATGGAATTCATTGTTTGGAATCACTTCAAGTTGCTGCTATTGATCTCCGGAACCCTAATCCAGACTCGGAAAAGTTCATAATTAATATGAACTCGGAGCTTGTTTCCATGTCCAATTCCAAAGCTACTGCCCTTAATGGTTCCTTCTCTTCTTCTCTTTTTTCCCTTACCTATCTTAGCTATCTTGACCTCAGCTTCAACAACTTCATGTACTCAAATATTCCCACTGGTTTAGCCAATCTCACTAGACTAAATTACCTGAATCTCTCAAATGCAATGTTCAGTGGTTCCATCACAAACCAATTTTTAAACCTTACTTCCTCCCTTAGATGGCTAGATATTTCATGTTCTTATCGGGTGCCAGACTACTTTCCTCTTTCTCCTTACTTGTCTTCAACAGTTCAAGTTCGATCTGGTGCTTATTATAGTTACCTTATAGGGGGGAATCTCTCTTTGTCAAGTTTGAATTTCTTACTGGGGTTGCATAATCTCAGAGAACTTAAATTGAGTGGTGTTGATCTTAAAAAGACATCTCAGTCAACAAAATGGGCTGAGCCTTTAATGTATCTCTCGAATCTCCAGAAACTTGAGCTGTCCAACTGCAGGATTTTCGGTAAACTACCTGCAAAGCAACTTCTCAACCTGACCAGTCTTTCTGGATTGGTAATGGATTTCAATTCTCTGTCATCTCCAATTCCACGCGAGTTTGTTAATCTTAGTTCCCTTTCAGAACTTGACTTCACAAACTCAAACATACAAGGTCCGATCCCTTACCTTCCTCAACTAAAAAAACTTTATGTGCGCAACAATTCTGAAGTTACCATCGATTTGCATTCCATGTTTGCAGCTCCTTGGCCTAAACTAGAAATTCTTGATATCTCAAGTACTCTAGTTAATGGATCATTACCTTCCTCTTTGGCCAACACCACTTCATTACGCCATTTCCAAGCATGGAATTGTTTACTTCAGGGGCCCATACCTGCTTCCTTCATGAACCTTTCAAAATTAGAAACATTATCGCTTGCTTTTAATAACATAACAGGTCACATCTCGCCTTTGATATCCAATCTGAGATGCCTTAATACGTTGAATACGATGCAGAATTCTTTGGAAGGAACCATACCCACCTCAATCTGTAACATGAACTCTCTGGAGTATCTCTCTTTGTCGGACAACTTTCTTAGTGGAAATTTACCAGGTTGCATCAGCCAGCTTTCCAGACTTGAGTTTTTTCTAATCAGTCAGAATAAAATGAATGGAACAATCCGGTCGTTGTCATCATTGTTCAAGAACGCAAATCCAATTATGATTATGATGGGTGATAGTGGGCTGACAGTGAAAGAAGATCAACCTCTCCTTCCACCCAACTTCCGGCCTCAGTTTTTGGACCTAAGTGTATGTCTTTCAGGAGGAACCATCCCAGATTTCATTTCTAGTATGACTCAGTTAGAAATGTTAAGTTTAGCCTATAACAACTTATCAGGAAAAATTCCACCCTGGCTATTTAATCTACCAAATCTCGGATACCTGGATCTCTCTTTCAATAACCTCCAAGGAGTTGTCCCACCTCATATTAAATTACAGTCATTCATGGCACCGACGACATTAAATTTAGCAAACAACCAGCTCAAGGGAAATATCCCTTCCCTGATTAAGAATGTAGAAGTTATAGACTTGTCTGGGAACAGTTTCACTGGCCACATACCATTACAACTCGGAGTTGCAAAAATTAAATATTTATCATTATCCGGGAACAAACTTTATAGTCAGATCCCTTCACCTTTCTGTCATTCTGGTAATGTATTGATGCTACTTGATCTTTCAAACAATAGTCTGAGTGGGACAGTTCCTAAAAGTTTAGGAAATTGCACCTCTCTCATTTTTCTGAACCTTGGAGGGAACAACCTCATTGGAGAGATTCCAAGTGAACTAGAGGGGGCAAAAAATTTGAATTACCTTGACCTTACTGACAACCTTTTTAATGGTAGTTTTCCAGGTTTTATTCAGAAATTTCAGAGTTTGGAAGTTCTCAAGCTGGGGTTTAATAGATTTCAGGGAAGGATCCCACAGTTCATTGGAGCTCTCCAGAACCTCCATATTCTTGTGCTAGAATCGAATTTCTTCAAAGGATCAATTCCTTGGGAGATAACCAAGCTGGAGAAGCTGCAATATGTTGACTTTTCGAGTAACAAACTTTCAGGTCCCATCCCTGAAAACCTGAATGGTTTGAAAATGTTGAAAACCCGACCTCAGGATGGCTCTATTCTTGGTTTTGTCATTTCATCCATGTTCGCTGCAGTAGAGCTAACTGTGACGATGAAGGGATTGTTACAACACTATGTAATCGTCCGCTCATATCACAGTGGCATTGATCTCTCGTACAACTGTCTGACAGGAAATATTCCAATTGAAATAGGAACTTTAGAGGGTCTCCCTATGGTCAACCTCTCACATAATTGTCTCTATGGTGAGATCCCAAAGAGCATTGGAAATATGTCTGTTTTGGAGTCACTGGACCTGAGCTTCAACAATTTAAGTGGGGAGATTCCGGCAGAAATCACGTTGCTGGATTATCTTTCGATGCTCAACTTGTCCTACAACAATTTGAGTGGGAAAATTCCATCGGGGCAGCATTTCGAAACTCTGAGCATAGATGGATCGGCATATATTGGCAATGAGTTGCTATGTGGAGATCCCCTTGGAATCAGTTGTACTGGTAAAAGCAATTCCTCAACTTCAGAAAGTGTTGAAGTTGAAGATGCCTGGTGGGAAAAGTTGTTTTATGCAGTTGTAATTTTTGGCTATGGAGTTGGCTTCTGGGGTTTTTTTGGGATTCTTTATTTGATGAAGGACAACTGGAGGAACATTTACTGGAGGACCATCGATCGGATTGCATTTGGAATCATCCAACGCATGCGAAAACAGGATTAAAATAACAGAAAAGGACTAGTAATAATTTCGCATAGATGCATTCTCAGATGTTTACACCAGTACTGTTATCTTAGCTGTTGAATATTGTAAAGTATTTATGTAAGATCTGTTAATTTAATTACTCGTTAAAAAGAGAAAGGATAGTTATTTTTTAATTTACTTTTTCTTTTTTAATGTTTTCCAAACTACGGAGGTTTATGTGATATAAGGAAAAACCTGAAGGCAGTGCCATATAATTTTCCAGGATTTGTTATTATAATTAATTTGTCTTTTCAATTTCTACAGCTGATATTTTTTTTCTTATCTTGTGACGAACACTTCTATTTCTCTGTTAATAAATGTGTCTTGTTCTTATTACTTTTAACTAATAACGCGTAAGACTATCCTCGATATATATTTCTTTATACCCATGTCAAAAGATTCAGATTATAGCTCATTCTTTTACTTTATAATATTTGTTTTAATGTGTTGAATTATTCAAAAGGGATAGATATAGGCATGACATGCTTTGAAAAAGACATTCTAATATTGTATGTGCCGCCCTGAAGTAGGCCTCTCTGATGTTAATCTTACAATCTGCCTGAAAAAGAAATGAAAAAGAAGTTTCATTGACTTTAGATGATAAGATGCCATAGCCAGATGTCTGATTTCATCTCATTAAATTACTTCAAATGAAACTTCCAGGAATTTCATCCAAGTGTTTAACAGATGCCAATCAATAGTTATAAATCAGCAATTAAATCTGCAATAATAAGGACATGTGTATACTAGAACCATGAACCTTCTGATCCATGTTCCTTGTTATTGTTTCCCCTGATCTCTAATCTTCCATTCATAACCTGTTGCTGTGATCAGGAAAGAGCAGCTTTGTTAAGCTTCAAATCACATCTTGCAGACCCTTCAAACTTGTTGTCGTCATGGCAAGGCCAAAACTGCTGCACTTGGCATGGAATTAATTGTTCAGAATCACTTCATGTTACTGCTATTGATCTTCGAAACCCTAATCCAGATGCATACTAGTTCATAATCAATATGAATTTAGTTTTGGAGTTGTCGACTACTTCAACATTAATGGGTTACAGAGACGCATTCGGGGGGGTCCTGCTGCCCGGTCAGCGGGTGCGAGGGCAACGCCTCCGGCCCATAGGCGGTTTGGGCTTCTTCCATGTATAACCGATGTAGGATTTCTTTAAGTCAATAATTCCTTATTGGGTTTGGACTTAGGAATAGGAACTTTTCCATGTATAACTATTGTAGGATTTCTTTAAGTCATTAATTCTTTATTGGGTTTAGACTTAGGAATAAAAATCCTTGTAAAACTAGGTTTTGTCATTTTAAACCCAGTATATAAACATATTTTTCTCTTGTTATGAGTGTGATAGCTATCATAGGACAATTCATTCATTGTAAATGAGAAAGGTAAGGAAGTATTACAATAATATTGACTTGGCTGGACGTAGTCCATATTGGGTGAAGCAGGGTAAATCGCACGTATTATTTTCTCTTTGTTTATTGTCCGTGATTTGTTTTATTGTTATTTTATTCTTACAGCTGTCTCTATTTCGTTCATTCAGAGCTTGTTTCCACCTCTAGCTCCATTTCTACTGCCCTCAATGGTACAATCTCTCGTTCACTCTTTTCCCTCTCCCATCTTACTTATCTTGACCTCAACTTCAACAACTTCATGTACACAAAGATTCCCCCTGCTTCTGCCAATCTCACTAGATTGACTTACCTGAATCTTTCAAATGCAATGTTTAGTGGCCCCACTACAACCCAGTTTTCCAACTTTATTTCGCTTACACAGTTTGATATTTCATGTTCTTATTAAGTGATTGACTACTCATCAATTTCTCTTAACTTGTCTTCTTCACTTCAAATTCAATCCGATGCTTATTATAGTTACCTAGAAAGGGGCAGTCTTTCTTTGTCGAGTCTGAATTTCATACAGGGGTTACATAATCTTGAACAACTTGCATTGAGCGGTGTTGATATGTCAATGGCATCTCAGTCAACCAAATGGGCTAACCCTTTATCATTTCTCTCCAATCTCCAGGGGCTTCAGCTGTCCAACTGCAGGATTTTCGGAAAAATTCCTACACAGCAGCTTCTCAACCTAACTAGTCTTTCTGTCCTGGCAATGGATTTCAATTCGCTTTCATCTCCGATTCCATCTTACTTATCAAATCTTACCTCTCTTTTTGTGCTCGATCTCACCAAGTAAAATCTACGAAGTCCAATTCCTTTCCTTCCTCAACTGACAAAACTTTTTGCAGGAAACAACTCTGATGTCATAGTTGATTTGCATTCCATGTTTACAGCACTTGGCCTCAACTAGAAATTCTTGATATCTCAGCTACACAAGTTCAAGAACCATTGCCCACCTCTTTTGCCAACACCACCTTATTACGCTATTTCAGAGCTCAAAATTGCCTACTTCGGGGGCCATTACCGGCTTCCATGATGAACCTTTCAAAGTTAGAAAGGTTAGAGCTTGATTTTGTTGTTGCTAATGGTAGAGAATGCTAAGAAAAGAAGGTGAACAACATAAAAATAGAGAGAAGTTTTTCTGCATTACCAACTGAGTTTTACACCATAACTAATAAAGCAAAATATCCACTGTTAACCACCACTTTAAAAGAATATTTTATGCAACATTAATCTAAAGCCATACATTAAGACCAACCTACAACAAACATTATGGACACATCCCATATAACCTGGCAATACACACCTAAACCATTACAAATGAATCAAACAAGGCTGCCTCACAAAATAATCAGATGGCAGATTGCAACACACTTTGGTGCCAGAACAGATTCAAAAGAGGGCTTGACAAACTGCTACATTTCTAGTTAAATATCAGAATTTAACACTCCTCCTTGATAGTTGGCTGGAAACACCAAGTCTGAATCTGAATTCTTCAAACTTGGCTTTGGAAATAGCTTTAGTCATAATGTCAACCACTTGTAATTCACCCCTACAGTGCATCAGTTCCACTTCACCATTCTGTTCAACCTCTCTCACTACATGAAAGTTAATTTTTATATGCTTTGTACGTCCATGATGCACTAGATTTTTGGCCATTGTTGTAGCAAATTGGTTGTCACACATGATGGCAGTAGGCTTAACCTGCTTCAGCTTCAAATCTTCAAGAATCTTTCTAAACCAAATGACTTGATTCACAGCAACAGCTGAACTATACTTTGCTTCTGTTGTGGATTGAGCCACGGTTTCTTGCTTTATGGAAAGCCAGCAAATTGCACCACAATTCAAAAAAAATGCATACCCTGAAATGCTCCTCATGTCATCTGTTGAACCAGCCCAGTCATTATCAGAAAAACCAACCAATTTGAAGTCTTTTGATCTCTTAACCTACACCCCAAAGTCAGTGCCGCCCTTCACATATCTCAGCACAATTTTTGCAATCTTGAAATGAGTCTGGGTTGGTTGACTCATAAATCTGGACAGCAAATTAGTGGCATACATTATGTTTGGTTTGGTTGCTGTCAAGTATAGTAGGCACCCAATCAAGCTCCTATACAATCCTTTATCAACCTTCTCAGCTTAATTACTCTTTGATAACTTCATATTTGGAACCAGTGGTAGGTCTACTGGTTTACAATTCTCCATGCAAAACTTCTTAAGGACTTCACTTGCATACTTCCTTGGATTCACAAAAATACCATCTGCATCTCAATCAATCTCCATCCCAAGAAAGTATGACATTTCCCCTAAGTCTGTCATTTCAAACTCACTGTGCATGGATTTTTTGGATTCCTCCACTTGAGCATGTTCGCTTCCAATCACTAGAAGATCATCCACATACAGAGAAATGATCATCACATCATCTTTGGCTTCTCTAATGTATAGAGTGTGCTCATTTGGACTCCTCACAAAGTCTAAACTGAACAGGTGGTCATTAATCGTGCTATACCAAGCCCTTGGTGCCTGTTTTAGGCCATATAAAGCCTTCTTCAGCAGATAGACTTTTCCTTCTTCTCATTGAATTTGATTCCCGTTTAGTTGTTCAATATAATCTTCTCATTCAACCAACCATTCAAAAAAACAGATTTAACATCCAATTGATGAATTTTCCAGGAAAATTGAGCTACCACAACAAGCAGCAATCTGATGGTATCATACCAAGCAACTAGTGTCAGTGTCTCCAGGAAATCTGTTCCATATTGCTGAGCAAATCCTTTAACAACTAGCCTGGCCTTATGCTTAAGAACTGAACCATCTGGATTTAGCTTTTTCTTGAAAATCCATTTTACTTAGATCACTTTCCTATTTTCTGGTCTGTCTACAAGCTTCCAGGTCTGATTCTTTTCAATCATAGCTAGCTCCTCCTTCATGGCAATCCTCCAGGCTTCTGACATTATTGCTTTTAAGTAGCTTGAAGGTTTCATTTGTGCCACATTACATCTGTCATACACATCAGCTAGAGATCTTGTTCCTCTGACAGAAAATTCTTCATCTGATTCATCCCCTGGATCTTCCTCAACCTCATCAACTGGAGTTTCACTCAATTGGGGTCTTGTTTCTACATCAACCTCATCTTCCTCCCAATTCCAGACTCCACTCTCATCAACTGTAACATCCTTGGAAACAAGGATTTTCTTTGAGTCAGGAATGTATATTCTATAAGCTTTAGATTGGCTGCTATAGCCAATAAAAATTCTTGTCAAAGCTTTATCTTCCAACTTTGTTCTTTTTGCAGTTGCCACCAGAACATAACATATGCTTTTGAAAACTTTCATATTATCCACTGCTAGCTTGACTCCAGTCCAGGCTTCAAATGGTGTTTGACTGATCAAGGCTCTTGTAGGAAGTCTGTTGAGCAAGTACACCCCTGTATTGACAGCCTCGACCTAGAAGAATTTCGAAAGATTTTCTCAGCCATCATATATCTTGCCATCTCCATAACAATCATGTTTTTCCTCTCACTAACTCCAATCTGCTATAGAGTATAAGGGTTGCTGAATTGATGCCTGATTCCAGCCTCCTTGTAAATCATTTCAAACTCTTGAGAAGTGTATTCAGTACCATTGCCACTTCTCAAGGTTTTGATAGTCTTTCCTATTTGATTTTCCACTAGCTGCTTGAATTTCTTGAATGCTCTAGCCACCTCACTTTTCTGCCTTAGAAAATAAACTCAACACATCTGGGACCAATCATCTATGAACAATACAAAATATCTACTTCCACTTAGGGATAAGGTTTGCATAGAGCCATACACATCCGAGTGAACAAGCTGAAGTTTTTTAAAGGCTCTCCAGGCTTGATTCACCGGAAAAGGTTTTCTGCTCATCTTGCCTAATTGACATGCTTGGCAAACTCCTTTTGGTTCTTCAACAATTGGCAAATTCTAAATTAAGTTTTTGGATTGAATCTCTCTTAGACTTCTATAATGTACATGGCCTAATCTCTTATGCCATATCTCAGTTTCCTCTTCTCTAGCAGTACATGCTTTGTGTGGAGAATTTTCCACATGATTGGAAAACTCTTTCCTACCATTATTATTCTCAACCTCTTACTTCCCTCACTATCCAGGATTATGCAAGATTGATTTTGAAAATGCAATGCATAATCCTTTTCCAGCATCTGTCCCACACTATGGAGACTTTGACTGATATCAGGTGCATAAAGTACATTAGAGATTAGCTTCATACCTGTTGGTGTTTGGATAGCAACATCTTTTTTCCCTTTTGCTTCCACAAATTCTCCATTTCCCACTTTGACCCTTGACCGATGTGAATGATCCAGGTTCACAAAACTCTGCAAATCTAGTATCATGTATGCGTACATCCATTGTCAATTAACTAGGTTTCATCATATGCTTGGATCAAATTGGATAAGGCCACAAATAACTACTCTGTCTCCTGTCTGGATGTTGTTCATGAACCGTTTAAGCTTGCTATTGGGACTGCTCTCCCTTGTTTTTGCAGACTCTTTCGATGTGGCCAAATTGTTTGCAGGCCCTACACTGTGTTCTTGGCCTAAACCAACATCTATTCTTTGCATGTCCCTTCTTCTTATAGTGAGAATGAGCTGGAAAATTCTTCATCTACTAGCCTTGTTCCACTGAGCATTGGACCTTTCTTTTTCCTTCTTATCTCGCGCAAACCTTTTGTTGTTTCCTTGTGCAAACTTGCCTTTGTGAGCTGCTAACATTGCTCCCTTACTCGCATATCCTCTAGCCTCATGAGCCTTCTCTGCTCTTGTGCCTGCAAAGCATGGACTAGCTCAGTCAAAGTGATCTAAGTCAGGTCTTTTGAGTCCTCCAAAGAAGAGATTTTTGCTTCAAACCTTTCAGGTAAGCTTACTATCACATTCTCCACTATTCTTTTATCTGTCATCTCCACTCTAAGCAACCTGATTTTGTTGACTATATTCATCAACCTATCAACACATTCCTTCACTTTCTTAGCCTCCTGCTTTCTTAATGTCTCAAATTGCCTTCTCAAATTCAACACCTGAATGTTTGTTGTAGTGTCACTCCCTATGGACTCCTCTCTTAACTTGTCCCATGATTCCTTTGCTGTTTCACATGCCATGATCCTTGTAAAAACAAGGTTTGTGAAAGCTAACTGAATGTGGGACAAGGCTTTTGGAGCCTTTGAAACTTCTTCTTCATGTAGTCGGATTTGGTTGAGTGTGGGATATGGTCCCAACTGAGGGGGTTGTTTCTCCTCTTCTACATATCGCCAGAGTCCTTGACCTCACAGATATGCCTTCATTTTGACAGCCCATATATGGTAATGCTCACCATTAAAGACGAGAGGTAAAAGAGAAGTTGTCTGAGTGGCCATTGATTCAAGAAGGAAGGTCTGATGCAGGTTAGTTTTTCTAGAGAAATAGATAAGCTGATCAAGAGGAAGAAAAAGTTTCAAGTTTTTTAGCTCAAGTAACCAAGCTTTGATACCATTTTGTTGTTGCTAATGCCGGAGAATGCTAAGAAAAGAAGGTGAACAACATAAAAATAGAGAGAAGTTTTTCTGCATTACCAACTGAGTTTTACACCATAACTAATAAAGCAAAATATCCACTGTTAAAAACCACTTTGCAGGGATATTTTATGCAACATTAATCTGAAGCCATACAGTAAGACCAACATACAACAAACATTATGGACACGTCCCATATAACCTGGTAGTACACACCTAAACCATTACAAAATGAATCAAACAAGGCTGCCTCACAAAATAATCAGACGGCAAATTGCAACACACTTTGGCGCAAGAACAAATTCAAAAAAAGGCTTTACAAACTGCTACATTTCCAACTAAATATCAGAATTTAACAGATTTTAACTACATAACAAGCCAGATTTCACCCGAAAAATAATACAATCATCGAAAGGAGTGCATCGAATTTATGAACTGAATGACGTGGCATAATCCTGACCGTCGATTAATTATGAATTAATATTAATTGACTGGCATGATTGCGTCACGTTATTCAGTGCATGAATTCGGTGCGCTCCTTTCGGTAATTGTAGCATTACTCGATTTCACCCTCTGTAT